ATATAAGTACTGTAACATACGTAAATAATACAGAAATAGCCATCATATTTACAAAAACAATCAGTGCTCATTAGACAAATAATATAATACCACAATGTAGGCTTATTGGCATCGAGTAATCTCAGATTAGTGGTATAACTTTATAAATAGAGCAACCCAAACAATTTAGCGGACAACACTCGCGGCAACCGCCCTTGAACTAAGCCTCCGGAGGCTGCACGCGCGGGCGCGAGGCGGGCCCTCGCCGGCCAATCAGCGCCCCTTCACATTTTTCAGCCCCCGCCCGACGCCGGACTCTGCCCAAAAACAAAAGGATCAAAGTCGGCGAAACCTATCTCTTTCTTTGTGAGGCCAGCAAACGGGCATCGATGAGAGGATGGAGATACAGTGTCGCGCGGGCGCGAATCGATAAGCTCGCCCCACCGCCCCACAGGCCCCCGGGCCCCCTGCGCCCCGCCGGCCGCCGGCGCCCCCCGCCCCCGCCGGCCATTTGCACGGATGTTTACTATTATTATTTTATTAAACGGCTGCTCTAAACGATATAGGCATATTTACAAATCATAAGCTCCCAATTTGTAGGAATTACCTTACTGCCTATTTTAATGCGAAACTCGTTGTTAAAAGAACGCTGCGACACGATAACGCTCGCGCTTCAGAGAAACGTTTATATTCACTCGAATGGATTTCGTAATAAATTATGTAATAAATACCTACGAACAATTGTGTGTACGTACGACATCCTATAATAATTCATTAATTAGGAATCTTATTACTCTTAAACCACATGTTGACACTTATATAATAATATGGCACTTACAAAATGTTTTATGTGTACTTAATACCTACTTATAAATAAATCATTATCAATTTGAAATCTAGGTACGAATTAAAAAAAAACTATTATCGGTAACTGATAAAGAAAGCCTAACTATAGACGCCATGTCCTACATATATACAGAAGTTCATGTATTGAATTTGAATTTGAATGTGAATTTGAAGTTCCTTATAAATAAATAAAAATAATTAAAAACAAGCATCTAAACAATATAATATAAAGATTTACATTGCAGACAGAAACAGTTATAACTGTACACACATTACGTACATACAGCTCAGAGAACCAAGAAACAATTGGTATGATTCTCGACTACCGCCTATATGCACGCAAACGTAATGTAGTGCAGACCCAACTAGACGAACATAAGATATTCTGGGTTACATCAAGGATACTTCAACTCTACCTAAGTCATTTCTGTGTTCAACATCATCATTATACAGAATAGGTACACTTTATTACACTTATTACATTTATTACTTAGCTACACTTTATTACTTATCATTCGCTAGTTCAACAACACACTTTATAATATATAATAGATAGGATAGATTACATCGTATATTGTGTACTTTTGTACCTAGCCTACCTTTCTGTATACTATGAATATTGTTTTTTTAAAGGTGCAATAAAGAGTTATAAATAAATAAATATATTTTTTTGCACTGAGTCAAAATTTAAAAATTACATTAATAGCTTATAGCTAGCTAGTCATTATAATTTAGAGTACATAAATATTAAATTAAATATGAAAATTGATCATTTACTACTATTATTTAAGATCCACACTTTTACAAATAATTAGTCACTAGAGCTGTTAAATAATATTATAATATTTTTTATTTAATGTGTACAATTGTAAACATTCGAAAAAAAATTTAAATACTCAGTCTACATAAAATAAGTATATATAGTAGTACCGGAGATAGCATCCCATTTCGATATTATGCAAACAAAAAACTCAATTCCCTAAATGAAATATTATTATAAGTAAATCTTATCTGTGCCAGTAGTAAGCAGGTGTAATTCTGAAAATTTAATTACTTGACTACCTAAGTACATAGTGGTTTAATACTCGACCTTTCTGCCGATGATTGCAACGTAAACCAGTATTATATTTATAACAAAAAATATGTACCAATTTTTTTAAGTTGTCTACTATCCACAGCACTCTGCTTAGTTTAGGAATACTTAGAGCTGTATGAATTGTAGGTATTATATAAAATTATTATTACTATTGTATTATGTACGCTTTTTATTCAATTCTGTACCTATACTTCATTTGGTTATGGAGTATAAATACGATGTTCATCACACACTTTTCATCCTAAAAACCAACATGTAAATCAGTACTAAATAAGAAATCCTTGAAATCAAATCCCACAAATAGCCAGTATCATATTCTCTTATGAAAAGAGATAAGTAAGTAGAGATAAGTGCAGAAGAACGACGAATTGTTATAATAAAATCTGTCATTTACTTCATTAATTTCATTTTCTATAAAATAGTCACATAAGCGTGTGTCCTGACTTTTGTCTAGTAGTACTAGTACTATAGGCTAACCCGAGTTAAGTCGAAGACCTTACCTTGAGTTTGAATCTGGCTGATACCAAAGAACTTTGTACATAATTTTTTATTCTTCTTTTCGCCATCGATGATTTAAATAAAAATAAGAGATTGCTAAAAAAGATAAGAAAAGATCGATAAAAACATATTCGAGAGATACAAGGTAGGCTCGCTCTCTGCCACACGGGATTCAAATACCTATTCAGCGCACAAGGACATGTCAAGTATTACATCCACCCCGATATCTACATTCGACAATGTTTCTGACTACTCTATCTGAGATAACAGTTGTAAAGAAATATATTTTTTATTTCATAATTAGGTACTTCATTATTATTTATATAAATCGAATTGATCAAATAAAATAATATCAGATATCAGTCTAGATCACAATACAAAGAGCAACATACAACATACAAAGATGATAGATACACTAAATGAATAAATAAAATGCACTAATACAAAATGTAAATAATTATTACAATATCTATATAGGTAGCCCATTTCTATATAGGTACCGAATACGTTGATCAAAACAAAACTTTAGTTAGGTAGGTTCGTGCCACCAATAGTCAGTGTGGATATTCAGTTAAAGGATATTTTTTCGGACTACTCAAATGCTTTTGGCCGCAGCTTCACCGGACTGTATGGGGCGAGTGCAGACGGCGCTCCAAACCTGCTGCTGGAAGGACTTATGGAGTGGTTGAAGGCCAATTCTCGCCTGACAGATACGACTTTAATGTGAGGGCACCGCTAGAGCTTCGAACCTTGGCTCAGGCCATGTAAATCGTTTTGAATTGAACTGGGGATCGATCGAAAGGGCTTTAAAAATAATGCAAATATTTATACTTACTATATATTATAATAAAACTATTAATGACCACTGTCTGCAAGAGCCTGGAAAATACTCGTAACTGTATAAGAAAACCTCTTATTGAGAACCTTATCAGTAACCAAAATCAAGTAACGCAAACTAAAACAATTATATTTCTTTCTTTTTGCTGTACGTTTAAAAATTTGTCTCGGAATTACTCTCACTGATTAGGATGCGCTTTTCAATTATGTACTATGGTAAGCTTTATTAAAATTGAGTGATTAGTTTAATCCAATCGGGTTACAAAAAAATATATAAACAATTATTGATTGGTACGAAGTTGTGACAAACGTTCTTAGACTGCTCTACATAGCGTTTAAAACATTATCTACTGTTTATGTTCAACGAAAACGATAGAAGCTGATAAAATTAATTGTACAAACATAGCAATTTATTCAATATCACATGATAAGGTTTAATATTCTGTTAACCCAGTTTCAGTGTTTAAAATTGACAATAATGAAATATTACTGCATGTCACTGCAGCTAGGAAAAAAACAAGAATTCTCACGCATTATTTGAAAGAATGACAGATAAGCAGCTGACTTAGTTAATTTTATATTAGATATATTATAATTAGTGCCAACCTTTGTAGTTAGTTGTTTGATAAAATAAAATATAATTATTAATGAAAATATTTAATATATTTAAAGATAACTGATAAAATCTCGCCTGAATCAAAATATAAGTGCAATGCCACAAACTAATCTGACCCGATGACAGAATCTAAAACTTATGTAAAAATCGTAGAAATTATATTCAGAGGCAACGTTGAATTCAAACAGCGACCTACTACTATCTGTGATACCGTTTATCAAAACTTTCAATGTGGAGTTATTTAAGCATTTGCTTATACGTGGGCAGTGCTGGATAATAAAGTCACAAGTTTTTACCCAGTTTTTAATTAGGTACATACTTGAACGTAGGGTAAAACTTGTGACTCTTAAAAAACACCATTAAAAAATACCCTTATGGTTTCGATAGATTTTTAAGACACTTTTCTTGTTCGTGTAATTTACTACACATTTAAAAAAATGAAGAAAGTATGTAGAGACATATTTTTTGTGGCATTATTATAATTTAAATAACTATAGAGCTATTTCCATCGAACGTTATCTAATTAGAATAATTATTGAATTATTACCGGAATTTTAGGAGGTGACTCAGAATTCAATTGTTGTTCCTTATAGTTATTTATTCTGATCAACTTATTCTGATATAAACGATTTATTCCTTAGTTAGTCCCAGAGTCGGCTTGCATAATTTATGTCATATTTTATAAATATTAAGTTATATTTTTAATAAGATAAAATAATTTCGGTAAAAACTACGATCGCACGCCATCTATGTTACAATCATTTATAATCTATAAACCGCCATCTATTAACATCAGAAGGAACTTGAATGAAGGTAGACTGCTTATAGCACAACGCCATCTGTGCTCTATCTTCTGTAAATAATCCAAGAACGTCTATTAACTTCAATGATGTTCACTAGATGGCACTGTTCTAGTGGTAGTAAATACATGTCCTTTCTTCAATTTTAATATTTAATAAAACCAGTAAATAGTGCAATTAATACATTTTCTAATATCGAATTATTGTTATATTTTAATTAATGTCTAAATGATAAGATTCAGTATATAAATAATTGTTTTTGTTCACTGCGTAATAGACTGCTTTATCCACAATACAACTTCCGGTTGGCGCTCTACAATATCACGCATACGCAAATTCAAGCCTGTATCTAACTTCACTTCATAGATGTTCGATTTCTTGTAACTGCGTCGAGGCTTGAGGTTTCTGGAGATTACACTTTTCGGTAATTATTATTTTACTAGTTATTTAAAGTGTGGTGGATAAAGAATCTTATTGTTTTCTTATCAGAGGTGAATGCCAACTTGATTCGGAAGTGCTGTGATGTGATATCGTAATAATTTGGCGCGTTGATTTCTGTCAATTTTAGGCAATAGTTTTCGCATTCGCACGCAGTATCTTTTATGCACGTGTAAACCAACATATTTGTGATTTTTGGTTTACAGACATGGCTTTGAGCGTCGCACTACCCATAGTTGGATTGGAGACGGATAATTTTAATTCGTACAGCTCATTCGGGCATATCATAGACATAGCGGGGCTTTCTCAATCCCAGACGAGCCCAAGCCCATCAGTCTCCAGCGAATCTAGCGGCATCGGCTCTCTGGGGTCGCTCAAGTCAGAGTCAGTGAACAGTGACTCCCTGCCGTCTAGTCCTCAGACGACCGAGAAGGTGAGTTATGAAATTTGCAATATTTGTTTGCATTTGTTATGTCCTTGACCCTTCTGTTTTCATAATATTCCGTAATGGCGAATCCATATTACGCTATCAAATGTATGTTTATTAACAGTACATGATAATAGGAAGATTCCAGTATTACAGGTTATGCTATTTTGAACACTTTGTACTATGTTTATAGGAACTGTTATAGATTATACATTGCATTTGATATCAAAATGTCTTCCAATGATAGAAGTTGCCAAAAATGTGTAGGTAAATAATATAGTACCTACAGGTGTATTGTACAAATTTACTGGTATGTGATTGAGAATATATCATGGCAAATATTTTCCAATCAAGATGAACAATAATGGAATTGTTAATAAATATAGAACTATTATAAAATTATTAATATAATATACACTTGTGAGATAATTTATATTTGCTAGTACTAATGCAATATGACTTCCGGTCTAGAAAAGAAATGTCATTTATCAGCCATGTTTAATATTAATTTTTTTATAATTTATTTATTTTTAAATAGTTAATTAAATTTTTTTTTTATATACCTTTTGTTTGTCTTTTATGACAAGTGTCAGTAAACATCCCTGTACAATTTTTTGTTTATTACCTACCTAAATATACTATATATCCAAATTCCTCCATACCACACTTGTTCAGCCTATGAATTTGTAAGTAATAAATAATATTAATAATTTTGTACTGGTATCTTTTAATAACATAATTATTTTATTTCAGAAAATATTTGAGACAGTTGTGCAGCCACAACCTCGTCCCAAGGAAACGGTTGAAGATATCAAAATTAATTATGCTGGTCGTGATGTCCTCAACTTAATGGCCAATCTCACCGACCGTAGGTGGAGCTACCGTGCAACAGTACTGCCACCTAACAATCCAGGCCTGTTCTTCGCCAACCGTTCACAGTATCACCGACTGGGGCCGTATGCTGCTAGTACACAGTATGTAAAAGACACTTGCCGTGACTGCGGTTTCACATGGGTGGTAGCTGCCACAGATTGACGTGACTATGCGTCAATGTAAACAGAGAACAAAGTTGAGTGGGTAGACTGGGACACATCAGGGTGCATATCAACTTCACTGTCACATAATAGTGGCTGTAATGCCATTGTTAGTTATAAGCCAATAACTAGTTTATTTTTTTATGTATTATTGATGACTTGCCTTTTGGAAAGGTGAATTTGTTATTAACTATATTAATTTGCTCATTTATTATTAAATTATTTATTATAACTTATGAAATGTAATTACATTATAATTTGAGCAATACTTGTAAAGTTCCTTGTGTGCTAATGTTGTTGGCTTTGTGACAATTTCCTATTTATTGTGTAGACTTGATTGACTCCCTTTTGTGGCTCAGTCCTGTAAATGACTGTGGAATATTTACGTACCTATCGTCACGCGCATTCCTAGAGTTAAATTTTAAACGTGACTTAATACTGTGATCTTAATTTAAACAAAGCAATTTGACAAATTCTGTGAATCGAACGCGCGACGATATTTTTACTTTCGTTTTTATTTTAACTTATTTATTTGTGTGATATTTTTAGGCTTAATTAATGCTATGAACTTGCATTGCCATAAGATTTGCAGATTTATTCCAAACCAGCATTTCTAGGTCTTTCTTTAAAAGTTCAAACTGACATGAATCGAATCAAAATTAGTCTGAGTGCACACTTTTAACCCCATCTTGCAATATTAAAATAAGTTGACACATTTAACGTATGCTACTTAGTTCCTCTTAGATATGTTAATAATTTGTTATCCAAAGAATCTTATTTGTTTAATGTGCATATTATATTAACTATAAATTGTACACCAACACAATTTATACTGATTAATATAAATATAAAATACAAGGATTGAGTGAGATCAACCGGTGGATTATAATATGTCCATGTAGTCTTAAAGCAATATTTAAATTATGGACATTTACTTATATCATAATGAGTTATATACTTCCCACCATTACGTGTAATAGTTATTATTTAAATATTGTTTTATTATTATAATTCTTTAGTCTAGTAATATGATTTAGCTATATTCCACAGTCATACAATCAATAGGATCGTTGTCGTTTTAACCAAAAGGCTGCTTCTCGGATGTTATTTAAATTTACGATTATAACGAGATAGGCACGAATTTAAGCCAAGCTATAGGTTAATTTTAAGATTTAATTATTGTTGGATTTACCGTCCGAGCATTACATAATAATAGTGACGACCATATAATTTAGATAATACTTTCTTGACATAATTATCCTATAATAAAATTCCTATCGAATTAATGAAATGGCTTAAATGACTCATTTCATTGTATGACGAGCCCATGCAGATCATAGTCAAAATGGGTTATCGGTGCATATCATCACAAATTATTGCAGTGATTAGATATTCTAAGGTATTAGTAGTTGTTACAGACCGTTTAAAAACGTTTCGAGTCATTGATGTGCCCAGATGCTGGGTTCTAGTGAAATTATTATAAGTGTCATTGACAGACTGGCTATATCTCTATGTATGTGCATATGTAATAAATATAATATTCAAGGTCTCTTAAATTAGTCAAGATATTTAATAGTGTGAGTCTCTTCATGTTACAATGTAAGTAATGTATAACATACTAACTATAATAATTAATAATTGATACTGTCCTTTTATGCAACTTTAGTTCTGCTATGTTGTGATCAGCTTTAAATTTGAACTGGAGTATTTGTACACAAAAATGTTGACATATTTCCCACAAAGTTATTTTTATAAAAATAATTGTTAATACGAGACAATACAGTGTAGTTTTCAAAAATTTCTTTCTGATATAATTACGGAGTTCGCTTAAAGGTTTGGCAAGTATTTTGGAAGGGACCAACATCCATGCAATGATTTATATTGAATTGTTTTATTTGTTTATTACTGTAGACAAATTTTATATCAAAACAGTTGTTATCGCGATCTAAATGATTATTGCATTTTATTTGAACTTGTTGAATCAGTGCCACAACTTTGTTTTTGTCTGTTATCAATTTACTAGGCTATGAATACAAGCCACTATGATTTAGTTAGAGCATATAATATACGGAATCAGAGTATCTTTTGTATATTTTTGATTCAATATGTCATGTAATGACTGAACATATAGCATGGATCTCAGAATGCAGCTAGTAGTAGTAACATTGCCTCTAAAAGATGCCTCGAACATACTGTTGGTAGACAATGAATATATAGTATTAATTACGCGTCTTTGTTGATGCTCAGTGTGCTATATTCTCAGTCACACACTGACAAATGGTTGTTATTGGTTTTTAAATCTAATGTTGCATTCAATTATTTTTAGTTTTTATTATACATTTAGAAAGCTGCAATCGAATGTAGTTCAAAGTATTTGGAGCGATACGCACAGGTGTAGATTAGCTGTTGTTGTGAAATGTCTCCTTAAGTTTAGTATCGATTCCCTGTTGGCCCTTGCAAGTGGCAGGCGTGTCTGATGTAGTGTGAGACCGCCGGCCGCCTCTTTGTCCAACTATAAGAAAGAGGTCGAGGTGCGATGCAATATTTGCATTCCAGTTTTGTGTTAATGTAGCAGCAGAGGGTAGTAGTTGTTAATGTTTATTTAATCCGCATTGCCAAATATTTTGGTTGTTGTGCTATTTATTGAATGAAAATTTCTAAAATATCAATTTAGTACCTTCCATTAATAAGTGTCTTCAAGTGATTTTTACAATGTTTTAATCATTTCAATTTTATGCATTTTATTTTATTTAGTCAAATCATATACTTGATATTATACATAATATTATATATAATGGTCATTCATATTATAATTAAATAATTTTTTTTCTCATTGAACTGTAGTCAAATGACAGTATTTTTGTAATGAAAATGTATAAGGATTGAAGGGTTTTTTGCCTAGACGATGCGACCGTTGAAGCCCTCGTGGCACTGCGTGCGGTGCTGCGGCGGCCAAGGCGGACGCGCGTCCAGTGTGTATTATATCTGATAAGCATTATATAGGTTTAGCCAAATAGAATTAACTCGGAGATGAACTCCAAGTACCAAAACTTATTGGTTCAATGTTGTTCTCGTATTATGGTGATATAGTGCACCGCACGCGGTGCAGAGCTCAATATTTTTAGTAACCCTTAAGAAAATTAATACCTCTTTTGAAAAGAATATAATATATATTATATAGTATATCCAATCGATAATCACATATGTATTTCCCCGTTTATTTTGATGTGATATCATAAATGACTGATCTGAATTTAGTTTTTAAGTTGGTTATTATATGCAGTGCTATTTCGAGAGTGTAATTAAGATTTAATATTGAAAGTGCCAATGCTCGTAATTTAATCTATATGATGACTGTTCCTCTGTGTTTGTAGCTGTTTGTGAGAACTGGGTCCAGCCCCCTGGCTGCACCGAGTTAATTACTACCTTCATTAACGTCAGTATAAGCCTTCTGTAAGACTTAAGTTATCAAATGTTACTATAAATGGAATCACGTAACGTGCACAATCTCAGTAATGCTTGCAATATTATGTATTTAATTCCTCACTTATAATTTAATCCAGCGTAATGTTAAGAGTACAATATGAGATGATGTTATATCATTCTAGTATCAAAATTAGCCGAAGATGTTTAATATTATTATTAGTTAGGTAAAATTTTAACATAGCTTCGTATAATTGGGATGTTTTAGTATTTAGTAGTGTATAATTACGGCGTAGTGGCAAGAATAATGTCTTGTGAGTGAAGTAATGTTTTGTGGCAATAATACTCGATGTAAGTTCCCTGCCAAGAGAGTGTACAGGGTCGCGCGCCGCCTGCGCCCGCGCCCCCACGGGCTCGCGCGTACACAACTGAACGATAGACATTAGAAATTTATTTGTTGTAATTATAATAATAATAGCCGTAGGTATTTTAACGTACTTAAATAATTATTCTTGCGATGCCTTAATTCTGGTTGTCAATTAGACACGTCTGCCTAGAGTGTTATCATTGTTTTTATTTATTTTAGTTTTTTTTTTTGCTGTTCCGGCTTCCTCCGTGAACTTCCAAGTCCAGGCTGTTTCTTCTTAAAATGATTTTGAGGTCGATTTATTTTTACCTAAGTGTTCTTATTAAATGTTACCAAAATGTTTTTAATAAAATATTTTTATATGTATGATGTCCTTTCATTCGACTTGTTATTTCCGTGTCTCCTTTTATGTAAAGATTTAATTTCTAAACATGAATACACAGTACACAGTGTTATGTAACGCTTAACTACAGTACATAAATAGAGCACTTTTTATTTCACTTGTGATATAATTCCTTAGGATATGGACGTTGACGATAAATTTGGTCACGACTCTTGGCGTAAACATTTTATTCGGGCACAATGCCAATAAAGAAACGTTTCACAAACAAGTGTTAGGTCAAAACAGATTGCTTCCTATACTACATATATTCAAAATATAGCATAAAAGGGTAATGAAGACTGCAGTAAGAAATTAGTATCTTGTCTAAACAATTATGATTTCGTTATAAGGGAATGTCCCGCCGGTGGACACGCCGATAACAAACTACACACAGCTTTATTTTCTTCAATAAATGAGCATGTTCCAATTCAATTTTTAGTCATTTCTACTCTCATATGTATCACGAATTTATAAATGTTATGTATAATAAGAAATAAGTTACGAATACCTTATTTAAATATTTTCTTTTTTCTTTAAATCTTGTGTGTGAATAAATATTTACAGATTCTTTAGTTGTTAACGTTTACATATGGAGATAAAGCAATACCTATCTATTTACACAGATAATGTTATGTTTATAATTTTACATATAGTCATAACGAGCCATATACGAGCTCAAATAATTAAAACTAAATAGAAGTAAGTAATTATAATTATTGGTTCACAAATATAAATTTAAATTTTTATCTCCAAAATAAAAATACTTACACGCCTGCACATATTTTTATAAATTGTAGCTAAGAATTATCTGAAATCTTGCAATAAATTAAACCGCATCAAAATCGGACTAGACTAAATTTAAACATATACCTAACACTTCTGTTTTACATCAGTAATTACATAAAATATATATATTACTGCTCCTAATTCTTCATTCCTATACAGATATTAAGTAGGTACTTAGGTAGGTATCTGTTCCATATATGAATTTTATACAATTCATTTAAAACTATTGAATTATTAATAATTATAGTTTTGTTGCTATATACAGTTTCGTATAACTGCTAATAGGTACCTACATTAAAATCGGAGATTTTTATAAATATCTACTTGGGTAAAATGATGTCATAATTATTATGAATCATCATTTATCATGTAGATAAATAGATTACGAAAGTACTCGTGGCTAGCAGGTTACATACCTACTTCATGGTATTTCTGCGTAGGTCTTCAATATACCTATTTAATTATTGGTTTATATTATTTTAGTATAAATAAATACCTACGTAATTAATGTATTTATTTAGGTATTTACAACTGTGCGTTTCAATTATAGCAAAATAGCTAACGAAAACAAAAATAAAATTATAAAATAAATATACAATTTGCAAAGATGTAGTTCATTATTATTCCTTTATTAAAGATAGGTTGATACGTATATAAATAATATTGGATTTCAATCCATTCATTACCTACAGAAAATATAGTGACTATACTGTGTATTGTACCTGTGAAGTAAAAGGACATTAGCATCAAGTTAGCGGTATTTTTTTACAAAATGGACGCCACCAAAACAATGTGCTATCTCTGTCTAACTGATAGGGTTTTATTATTATTGTATGTATGTAGTGAAAATCGTACGAAACAAACCAAACAAATAGTAGCACAAGATGTGTTTTCAATAAACGCCATCTAGTAAACCCATGTCCATACTTCGAGAACTATGGCGAAGCAGAGTATGATCAAATACTCGGTAGGAGTTTCCTTATTTTCTAGTAGATGGCGACACCAATCTATAAACTGAAATATGTACTTTTAATGTTATCTTATTTGTGCTGGTAGTAATTTATTTATTTTAATGTAAAAAATATGTATTAAAGTATATAAATTTCCTAATTTACAAAACGAATATATTAATTTTAGCATTTTTAAATATCATAAAATATTTTTTACCTCGTATTACAGATATTAAATGCTTTGAAGACTACTAACGCCATCTAGTAATCTTCTCAATAAATGAAAAAATAATGGCGAATAAATAATTATGACTCTTTTATCTATATACATATATAAATAAAAGTGCAGTGTCTGTTTGTAATATGAAAATAAACGTTTTGTACCATTTTTGTCTGTCTGTCTGTTTGTTCCGGTTAATCTCTGAAATGGCGGGACCGATTTTGACGGGACTTTTTTTGGCAGGTAGCTGATGTAATAAGGAGTAACTTAGGCTACTTTTATTTTAGAAAAATATAGTTAAATTCCACGCAAGACAGACGCAAACAAAGTCGCGGGTACAGCTAGTCTTACAATATAAGTTTCTTTAACTATATTCTTTATCTTAGATAAAGAATATACGTGACGTAGAAAGATTAGGTTATATTCCATTTTAACTAATTAAAGTAATTAAATAAAGGTCGACTTCGAACTAACAAAATTTTACCCCAGTTTGCATAATACCTATTGGTAGATAACACTAACGGGCCAAAAGTGAAATATAAAACAATGAGAATGAAACCTTGCCTTTCTCCACCATGATGAATTTAACAGGAATCAATCAAAATGATTTCCAAAGGGAACTTCGCGACTATCATCCAATTGCCTACTGCAATTTCTTGGAATGGGAAGAATAGTCTCCACTTCTGTAACAACAGTCCTTACTCGTCTAGTGCATCTATATGCATTATTAGGGAGCACTAATTGGCCATTACGTAGCTATTTGTATTCAAGAACTTCGTAATTTGATTAGCCGACACAAACGTTAGGTGTAACGTAGAATGTGTACCTATTTCTCATCTTCAAACATGAACCTTTAATTTATTTTATTAATCATTATTATTACTTAGTATAAAATAAACTCGCTGTCGCTGTCTGTCCCTATGTATACTTAAATCTTTAAATCGACGCAACGGATTTTGATCCGATTTTTTTTAATAGATAGAGTGATTCAACAGGGTGGGGTCTGTTATATGTATAATACATGTAAAAACAGTCAATGAATAATCAAAATGATATCGACGAAATGATAACCTAAACCGTAGTACATAATGTATACCCTAGATATTGTAATCTTGTTTGTTACAATTCTAATATGAATTTCTTTATTGCGTTCTGTGGTCTCGCCTTTTCTGTCAGTTTCCTCCATTTTGTTATTGGAAGCAAACTATGAGGATAGGAGGTCGCAGCGACTACGCATTATTCAGTATAAAATACCTTTTCATGTTATAATTGTTCTGTATCACAATAGATCTAGAATTGTTTTTTACAGAACGTAATAACGACAACGATGATGTTTTTGTTTGGAATATCCACTTTGTGTTGGTATAATGGGTGTATTCATTCAGACCGGAGCGACTGAAAAGTGTCGCCTTTATCAGGCTCACAATAGACTGGAATCAAAGAAATTACGGATTTCAACGACCAGTGTTGTAGAACATTGAAAAACAAGCCTTGCCCAAGTTTTTCTTTTTGCGGGTCGCAACTCGGAAAAGGCGAGTCGCATTGTTTTACCTACAAAGTATGCATTTATAAGTTTGTAACTATACTATATTACTAATATATATTATGTATGCGAACGCTTATAACTATGAATGGATAGATGTCTGTTACTCTTTCACACAAAAACTACTGAACAGATTTTATTGAAAATTTGAAGTAGATATCATAGCTTATCCGTCACAATAAGACATAGATTATGAATTTCATGGGTATTATAAAACCACGTGCAGAGCTAGGGCGATAATATACAAAGAAAAACTAAACTATTGCCATCAGAAAGGCCATGTTTGTTTGCCATTATGTTATGGGATCGGTAACCTAACTAACCTATTTAGAATTCATAAAATTCGTCTATGCTGACCGCCAAGAAATATGCTTTATAACCAGTTTTAAATTACAGAATAAAAGTCAAACGAATGAACGAATGACAACGCTAGAGTGGTATTGCGGGCTACGGTAATGATATCACACGATACCGCGATATCCGTAAGTAAATAGTTCATGTAGGTAAACCTATAGGCGACGCGACGGTTCCCATTTACCATTAGGTGGGCTAGTCTGATGGCTAATTCAATTACATTCATATTTAAAAATACAATATAAATACGAAAATATCTGTTTGTCTCTTTATTATTCACCAGTAAATGGCTGAACGGATGCTTATTTTTAAAGAAATATGTAGTACATTCACTTTCGCGGCTGAAAACCAGTGTTGTACTCCTTGAGTGACTATCCACACTGTACAAATTATTTATGTGGCAAATACATGCAAGTTTTCCTATATTCAATCGTATAGGTCTACCATAAATATGCTGTAATACAGCTTGTAGTAGAACCTATATGTTATGCTATAAGTACTAATATACAAATAAAATACTTATCTATCTACACGATCAGATTACTCGCATCTATGACGTAAAACAAAATAACTTTAGTTGCTATATATTCTACGTGTTTTGATCACAAACGGCCGTAGATTGAGTATCGCTGACATGAAATAAAGCGGTCCTGTTCTATTGTTTTATAAATTTATTCTGTCGAAAAGGTACTTTGTGAGAAATATGAATAAGTATTTTCTTTGGTTATAAGACAAGGACAGTCTAACAAACTCGTCTCTAACACAACTTTATCGTTGTAACTGATATGAAACATGTTTTCAATAATTTTTTGTCGCATTCCTAGATCTACAGTCTGTTTGAGCCAAGTAATATAAACCTACATATGTAGACTTATAATTTTTCCGTAAATTTGAAGTAAAGAAAAGCCTAATGAAGTGAGTGTATTAAGATACTCGAAAATAATGATACTCCGATATCTCTCATACTAGCACACGCTTCGCGGATTTATTCGGTACGCACATTGATCTGAAGCCAATCGGAGAAGACACAGTAAGGGAACGGCAATATGACAACCATTTAAAATATTTGCCATATTGTTTACCAGAGCTAGACTGCAAAAAGTCTACTGCATGGGACTTCAGTGTCACTTATAACAGTGGCCAA